TAATGTTTTTTTTTTAGGTTTTTAGTGGCTTCGAAGATGGAAACGTAACATTATGGGTTCATATTTATACCTTGGATTCCTTGAGTCTTGAGAATGCTGACTTTTCATTTCTTTTTCGTTAAAACAAAGAAAAGTAACCTTTTCCATGGTATGCCAGATTGGTACGTGTATATGTATGAGAGGAGGCTGTTTTACTGTTCTCTTTCTGGGCCTTCTTAAATAATGTTTTTATGTTTTCCTTGCATGATTAGTTTTTTAAGGGCCCAGCTGCATGTGCGGAAAGCAGTGTTCTCTGCTGCATGGATACTGCACTTCCAGTAGTCAAATAGCAGCATTTTGAGCACAGAGTAGTTGTGTGATGAATACATTTAGTGTTATAAATGGCAACCTTCTTCTACTGTCAGCCATAATATACTTGTTTAAATTATGGTTCTCTTTCTTCTCAACAGATCAAATATTTCCTGGAGACTCCATGGATTTTAAAGAAATAGAAACAGTCAGCAGGAGTGTGGCCATCCCAGCATATAGGATATTACACCATTGGTACTATATTGCACTAACACAGGATTTTAAAATGTAGACATTGTTCCTTTAAACCTGCTTGGCTGCTGAAATCTATTTGTCAGACAACCATTCTGAGTATCCCACTGCTTTTGGAAGTGAGGTATTTGCCCACTAGGGAAGAGGATTCTCTCAGAAATGACATACTGTATCTATTGCAGATTTTTCCTCCCTGCTTATTAAGGCCTGGTTGCCAAATGTAAGTGTATTAAGTGGCTGGAAAAACAGCTTTTGTACTCCACTGGTTTTACAGCATATTACTACATGTTTTACTGCACCTATTGCTCTTAACTGCTAGTTGTGGTGTTTCACTATGTTATTATTTTCAATTTTATTATGGTATTATAAACCACTTAAAAAACCCAAGACATGGTAACAATATTCTATATCCATCATACAGATATCATTCCCAGCTCAATTAGAACAAAACATCATGGTCTTATGATAGTGGTTACTTACTAAGAGGTTCCCTCACGAGGGACACAAGGGTGAGATATAAATCTTTAAGCTAAGTGAATGAAAAAACAATATTATAAAGAAGGCTGCAGTCTAGTGAGGCTCAATTAACGAATTTTTCTTCTAGTTTTAATATCTGATTATTGTATTTGAGAATGGTAAGAAATTTCATTCACGATTAATTAGCTAGCAATCCTAGCTTTTGCTTTATATTGGCTTCCTCTTTTACTTATATGGAATGTCTCAACTACTTGAGCCATTTGGATCAATTAATATCTGATCTTCAACTACTAATCAAATGCTGTAGTCTATTTGATGCTTGTGACACAAAATTATCAAATTATTCAGGTTAATTTATGTACTCATGAATGCTCCTTAATTTATTTACCCATACATTAGTCTGCTTTTAGGGATATGAGATAGAAGTGAAGCAATCATATCTGCACAAGAGTTGTGAAGGTGAAATTGAAGCCAAACTATTTTCTCAAATGTGGTGTGTATGTGTGCATTTGTGTATGTGTATGCATACAGGGGTCCATTCCCCCTTGAGATTCTGCAGACTCTAAAAAAACCACATCTAGCATTAAGGGGGTGAGGGGGCAGAGAAAGCAAGACTTCCTTGTCTTGGCTGCACAGTACCATGGTGCTGCTCAGGCGACACTATATGCCATGGTAATCTGTATCTCTGAGGAAATCTGGCAATGGAATCTCCTACTGGACTTTGATCATAAAGGTTCATGATCCTACTAACGTCCTCACAGCAGTATAAAAATGCAGACTTTTTGGCTCATTATTAGAACTGTAAAAATGATTCAACTTAGCTTCTTCACACAAGGACAAGTAGTTCTGCACAAGGTTCAGGGAGATTCAGATAACACATACTGTATTAGCAACTGAGACTTTCTGTAGCTGCTTCCTGTAGGATTCTCTCAAAGACAGACATGAGCTGCTTCATGCATAAATGCAGCTTGCCATCAGAAGTGACTGCATTCCAAGTGTATACCATTTTGATGGGCTCTCCCCATTCCACCACCCCTCAACTCACTGCTGGACTGCAGTCAGTGTCTCCAACGGGTATTCTGATTTGTTAAGGTGCACAGGCCACAACACAATAGCATCTTAGTGATATGTGGCTGATCTTTCATATTCACATCTTCTTGGCTGATGAATGAGGCATGTCTCTGTTTTAATTTCCAGGCAGCAGTGGGAAAGCTGCATTACCTCATTCATCATTAATTCTTAAACATGTCCCCCCCAGGTGACACTCCTCCTGTGCCAAACATTGCCCACAGTAACACATGACAAAAGAAAATCTAGGACACAGAGCAGCTTAATTTCAAAACAGAGCTGCAGTTCACAGAGCTGCAGTTGCTTAATTACATTATTTTCATAAAAGACCTGGCCTCTATTAAGGCACTGCTCTCTCTGTCTCATTCTACAGAGGACTTATTACAGAAAAAAAGATTCTAAGATTTACCACCTGCATTTGTTTAAGTCACTCTCTCCTTACTTGACTTCTTTAGGCTGTTCCATATCAAGGGAGGTAAATGATGGCATTTCATTGCTGGCTTTGTGCAGCACAAATGGAACATGATGCCTCGCAAGCAGAGGTTTTTTTTTTTTTGCCTTTTCCACTGATGGACTTTTAAAACCCTCCTTTTAAATGTATTGTTTAAAATATTTTTCATTACACAGTACAGTATTGTACACTGTGGAACGCATAAAACAAATTCTAATTTAATCTGTCTCATGTTGCTGTCCTCTCCTACTTTACCCAACCATCAACCCCTCTTGCTGCAAACAAGGCACAGTTTGGCACATTGTCTAAAAGTGTTGTGACCAGGTGAGATCCATAATCAAACCCTCAGGTTTTCCCTATGGTGCTTTTAAACTACCCATTTATTATGAAGCAGACTGACTAATATTTATAAAAGTAAGAGTATGAAGGAAGTAACTTATCCAAAATCAGACATGACGTGGAAGTTTTAAAAAGCGACACTGGACTGCTTTGAGCATTGAACTCTAGAATAGCATGTCTAGAGCTTTCCTTCTTCCATGCTTGTTCCCTGATGTAAACTCCTCCAAGACACACATACACATACCACGTCTCTGTGGTGTGTGTGCATGTGCATTCCCAATGAGAAAGGCGTAATCACCCTCTTCCAGAGAACCACTTCCCTAATTCTTTAAATGTGCACTATTAATTAGCAAACAAAAACAGTAGCTGTTCCAAGTCCAATCTGGTTTGGTCCACAAAATATATTCATGCCCTAGAGACAAAATGTCTGTGAAATTCCTTCAGTAAATCCCCAAAGCTGGAAGAGATGTTAACGGAGGAATGTGTTTTCTGTTAAGGGTCAGAATGAGGAACAGTAGAAGACAGCCTAAGAAGATCTGAGAGCTACGTATGTAGGGAGAGGCTAGGGCAAACCATTCAAGATACAAATTGAAGTGTTTCTCTTGCAGGGGACAGCTTGCAATCTAGGACGCAAGGATTGTGTCACATCAACTATATTCCTTAAGATGTTAGTGTGTCAACAAAAGTACACCCACTTAAGACAAAGTCCTGAATGGGCTCAACTTACTGTGTGGCAACCATACAGAAATGAGGCCAAAACAACTGCTGTTCTACCATAGTCTGTGCACTTAGTCATCTCACACCTCAGACTTTTAAGAATACTGCTCTTTTTTGACATTTTACTACACATGATTTGCACTAACAGACATTAGTTATATTTACCATAGTATAGTTACACCTTGGCACACTATATCATGCAGCAAAAAGATGATGAACTTCCACTCATCCACTGCATATGTAATGTTGCAAAAGGAAGCTTCCTTCTGAAAATCTTTTTCCTTGGTGTTTCTGGGCTGATACCGAGGAAGAGTGATTTGTCTGTGTGCTCTCAAAAGATTGCTCTAGCCTGAACATTATCATTATTGATTCTCTATGATAGTAGTACCATCAAGCTGGTATGTGTGTATCAGACAGAAAGCCCCCACAACCCTGATCTTGCCCATGTAAGTCCTATCAATTCATGAGCTAGAAAATGAAAGGTCAGGATGTTAAAAGGAATGCATTAACTCTGCACACACTCCCCAAATAATCAAAGAAATTATAAAGGCCTCTATTGCAGAGAAGCCTAAATCATAACACACACTGCTGCTTTTGTTCTGATAATCACTGCAGACACATCGCAGCCCCTATCAACTAGTGGATATTAATAATTCATAAAGTGTCTAAGAAGATTACATCAGCTTTCTGACACATACCACACATACAGTGTCATGTGGTGCCAGCCATCTGTCCCTATCTCAAAGGCTGAAGCAACAGAGGAGGTTTTGAAGATCCATCCTATCACAGTTTCTGCTGAGTGTATATTTCACCATGGGTTTAAAACACAATCAAAAGGTTTTCCAAATGTTTTAATAGTCATTGGAGGAAATCTACCTCCCAGCATAGAAGAGAAAGGTCATGCCATCCTTTATTTTCACCTGGGGTACCATCATCGCAAATCAAAAAGGCATAACAATTACTGGAGACATTTAAGAAGTGACACATAGAGATTCCAGAATGCCTTTTGAACCATAAAGGAATGGGGGACATGGAAGCTCTGTACTTTATGGACTGCTACAATCCTTGTTTGTACCTTGAAAACACATTCCCAATTTCACATTTTGTGAAAATGCACCCAAAGCAAAGCAAACAGCATTTTCTCCCTTTTTCTTTTTTTGTTATGGGACACTGAACCCCATCATTATAGAATATTAAACACCATGGTACAGAAATCCACATTGTTCAATAGAAAAAGAAAATTCAAACTAAGGGACAGGAGAAGTAGAATTTAAGCCACCTTCTAAGAACTAACAAGGCCCAAGAGATGTCAGAAGGAATGCCATTTTTTTTCTAAATATCAACACATTAGATTAGAAGGACCATCCCTCCCACACTGTTCATAGGTAAGAGGAAAGACAGCACTCACCTCCCTGTTTACTTCTGTCAAGATAGATTGAAACCCTTCGGGCCAGACCTGTGAGAAGACAGGGATTAAGGGGTTGATGCTAAGGGTAAGTTGGTCAGCCAAAGCAAAACAAATCTTTTAAAGGATTAGAAAAATCAACTCAAAAGGAACAGAACAGAACAGAAGTTAGAGAAAAGCAGTAGCAGGAGAAGCCACCAGTCAGGAAAGGAAGGAAGACAAATAGTTTGCTCGGAGAAGCCATCCTGGAAAGCAGTTGACAGTGGAGAGAAAAAGAAGACTTTGTCTTTTTGGCTGGTAATGTGTTCTTTCTAAGAATGACCCCTTTCTTGGACTGGCATGAAAGGCATTGCATCATAAAGGGAGAGTAAGAAATGGAAACTCTGTTGTAAACTACCCTTAACATAAAAACGCCTGCACAGAGGAAGCCCAACACAAAACAGCAAGGTCTGTGTTGTCAATCCTTCTCATTCTGAGCCACCAGCTTGGCTGTGGAGCAAGCACAGCACACTTCAATGATTTGCTAATGAGCACTCAGTTCAAAGAGGGAGGACAATTTACAGAGGCTCTGCTCAAACAAGTGCTTAAATGGGGAAATTAGTTGTACAAGGGGATTCATTTGAAGTCATCAGAAAGAAAACTAGATAATGAGAGAAGCTGCAGGGTGGCAGCTGCAAAACAGCTGAAGGGATACGGCATTTTTAAGCCCAGGGAGCCTAACTGGCTTTTGACTTGCCCACAGAATTTCAGATATTTGAGGGATAGAGCCTGCTTGCCCGTTCCAAGGCAAGGCTTGCCAGTAGCCTTTCAGTATGTTCTGGACCATCTTACGTTTAAGAGAACATTAAAACATAGGGGTGGAGGGAGTAGGACACCCAACAAGATGAGAGGGGTCCAAACAGGAGGTGGTGGTCCATTTTCTCCATTACACATGAGCTGGTATTACACTTCCTGCAAAATCATTAATTTTAAACATCCACTTTCAGTTAAGCTATGCATCTTCACGTGTCCCCTTTGTAAAATCAAACACTCAATTCTCTTTGAACTCTTTGTGTGCCATTCCCACAAAACCAACTTTAGCCTGTTCTCATAAGACTAGCACCCTCTCAGGACATGCCTAGAGTGCAACACAACTTGAACATTTCATCCCCTCTTTCAAAAACTGCTGCCACACTATAAGCATATCTTACACAGCAATGGATGGTGTTCACATAAAACAATTTGCTTCCAGGCCTGTCAGATATCCAGAGAGCCAATATGGCTCAATGGCAAATACTTGAGCAAGGATGCCTCATTTCTAATCCTTAGCCACAATGCTTTCAGTGGCATATTGAGACCAGGCATCATCCATTAGCCTCACCTATTCTCAGGAGATGTGTCAGGTGGGGGAGGGGAAGCCATATGTGGCTTCCAGAGGTCTTTGCAAGATGATTGAAATAAATACATTTTTAAAGAAATAGAAATAAAGATAAATCTAAAAAATGATGGATTATTTTTGCATATACTGTATAAAATGATTATTTTTAAAATTTCACATCATCATTCTCATTTGTTCAAGTGGGCAAGAACTCGCAGAAAAATAAATAAGGGTACATGACAATCTAAAAGAGCACCATTACACCCACCCTGCCCCAAAATAAAAATGGGAATCTGGGCCTTGTTTACAGAATATAAATTGTGAGCACACACACATACACTGTCTGGCGGCAACTCCATTGATTTCTGGATGTTTTTATTAAAAGACACACACTGTGAAGTCAATATCAGCTCAACACTGTTAATTCATGCCATGCATATACCTACTGCTGCAAGAGAACCTTTCCTTCAGTGTCACACATTGTTCTATTTTCCTTATAGTCCAAAATAGTAAGGCTATGATTTTTGCTCCAGATATTCTTAGAGATAATATTTTATCCGGAAAATCATTTTACTTGTAGATACAAGTTGGGCAAGAACATAAGCAATACTACGGGATATGTGTGTGTGTATGTGTGTGCTATTTGTTGAAGCCCTTGAGTTCTTTTTATAGATGCATAAAGTATATGTTTTGCTAGAGCAAAACAATTACACACCATTATAAGATTTCTTTCCTTCCAGCCTGCTTAATCTACTCTGGCCTGTTCTTCCCTAATGAGAGAGGAGTCATGTCCACTTCTTTAAGAGTGTCATCTGTCCTTGCTATTCATTCAATCCCCTTGTGAGGTCAATGACCCATTTTTTTCCATCAGATGATTACATCACCAACTGAGGATTAGAAAGTGCAGGAGGAAGATGGAGGAAAAACGATCAACAGTAGAGGCTGCTGAAATGAAGATACACTGGCCGTGAAAGGAGAGATACACAAGCCAAAAAACCGAGAACATGGGCACAATGATCTCAGAGAGCTAGGAGATCTATTTTAACCTTGTCCTGAGCTGTTCCTGCTGTCTCCACAGCAAGGCTGCCAGTTGCACCAAATGCATAACATTTCTACAGAAGATTCAGTCATTCAGTCATTCTGCATTTTTGTACTAAGTAGTTTTCTTTCAGTTTTTAACTCTTATAATTCCTACAACAGTATGCAAAAGTAACAACCATAAGAAGGATTGAAAGAGAAAGGGGAAAGGACATATTCAGGAACAATGAGAATTTTTCTGCTTTGCTGAGGATATTTTTAGCCTCAATCCAGGACAGACCCTACCATTACCTGAAGAGAGGCAACCATCTCAGGGTGCAGATGCCAAAAGGCATCAGTGGCAGCCCCTTCAGCTGTTTCTCTTGAGCTTCCCAGGTGCTCCTCTTTCTCAGAGGGTAAAGCAGCATATGCCATGTGGTGTAACTTTGGTCCTCCTAAACCAGCTCGCTGTCACAGATGTAGTGGATGGTGCCATCTTATCAATTGTCCAGACAGCTTCTGGAATGGAGGGTGGGTGCCATCTTCTGTCAGGTGGCAAAATATCTGTCATACAGGCAAGACTTTCATGCCTCTCATCTCTGACTTGCACAAACAAACCACAAGGGCAGTAGACACATCAAAAGGACACTGAAAGGATACAACTAGATTTGACTGCTCATCACAGGCTCCCCAGAGGATCCCCACTTGCCTGCATACATTTTATGGAATAATGTCCATGAATTTTTTCTTTTCCTTATTTCCTTTTAGTGCTGGACTACTTTTTATGAGTGAAAAAAATGGTATTTTTGAGTTATTTACTGCAGCCATGTCAAGCCACTTTGTAGAAATGGGCACTCTCTGTTAGAACTGATAATAAAAGGTTACTGGCTACTTAACTGTAGTTAAGCCAGACCTGTGGATGTTAGAATACAATACAGTTATCAAGCTGTCCATAAACTAGCAAATCCTCTCTCTCTATCTGAAACATTTTAAAGAACCCACAGAGCTCCAAAAGCTGTCTTTCCAGTTTAACATATTGATCTTTGAGAGAAACATTTTCTTTGCTAAGATTTCAGATTATATAGCTATTTTAACATTAGCTCAAATGGTATGGCCTGTATCCAATAATTAACTGTTCCATTTAGGATTAAATAGCTAATAATCTGTTGTGGCACTGAGACAAAACACCCAGAAATGTGCACTGAGATTTAAAACATGGAATTGGTAAGTTTAATTACATCTGGCTAGATTTGCATTGTGCTTTTATTCTGGAGGAAATAAAATCATGTAAATTTTGGCAACAATTACAGTTAGTTAGAAGGGTGTGGGTCCCATGCCTTGTCATATATGACCAGGCAAATCTATGACTGGCATCTTGTTAATTAGCTGCAATTTGTTGCTGCAACGTATATTACTTCATTTATTGCAGAATAAAATCTGAATAGGATTCTGGCTATTGGTTTTTTTAATGGGTTTTTAAAGTTTTGAAAGTTCTTTAACTGACAGAATTCCCTGTACTTGTATTTGCTATATTTGATATTATGGCTAGTGACAAGTGCAATTAATAAAATGAACCAAATTGTGCAGTAACTGAATGACTATGTGGAATCTCAGGTGGGTGCTTTGTAGGTGCCTTAGGCAAGATTTGTAAAATGAATATTAAATGACTATTAAGGCATGATAACAAACCAACGAAGTCAAAGACCTAGAGAGACCAACAGCATTTAAGTTTGATTCTCTTCTCTCCAAAATTTTGAGGGAACTCAGAAGTCATGAGCATAGCATCTTTCTAGACTTCTTTGCTCTTGCTCTTACTGATGGCTTTCCTATACCTGGCACATATTCAGCCAAATCAATTGCACATGCCTGACTTCCAGCAACTGATGATCAGCTCTGTGCACAGGGCATGGTATGTTACAGAGGCTTAGTTTTACAATAAATGGACCTCAGCTTTCAAGCTACCCAGTCAAAAAGCCTGAGATGATTTTTTATGGGGAGAAAATACTGAGGAAAGGGCTTTCAAAAGATTGACATCTGAGGGAGGCATTGGATTTGAATTTCAGTGAATAGCTGGAAAGTATATTATATGAGAAAAGCAGGGGCATATAAGGGAAGAAGACGTCATTAAACAAGATGTAGGCAGTGCTACTGAAATGTAAAATCCGTAATGTTCAGAGGACACAGACTTTTGTTTTGACATGCCGACCTACTACCACTTACTGATAGTGCTGGTACAAATATTTTAAAGGGGTATCCAAGTAATACTTTGGCAAGAAGATCTTTTTAAACAAGTAATTGTCAAGCTCCAGGGCTGAGATACATGGGCTCAGAAATGAGAGCTGTCAGAGCATTAATGACCCTTCGTGTCTTGAAAGCAGAGCAAGCACCTTTCTAATTTAGCATCTCCCAGATGTCTTTTTGGTCACTTAACCCCTGCTTCATCCAGGCTTGAATTGTGACAGGCCCCTTGCTGACATTCAGTCCTGCCTAGATTCTTAACATGCATGGGCTGTTTACATCCACTTGTACTACTGTTCTGAATGTGACATTTCCATTCTCCTCTTGACCCCCCAGCCCCACAATATATGTCAGGAAGTAAGGCAAAGAGAGTTGGATGTGCTAAAGCAGGCTCAGCAAGGCAAAACTGGAAGCATGCAAAGCCAGAGCAAGGGTGAGGAAGCAACTTAAGTGGATAGCAGGAAGAAGTAGGTTTTGGGTGAACCCCAAGGTGAGAGGAAATAATCAGCTGGTTTAAGGAGTTTAAGGCAGTGCTCAGTACAGCCTTATACCAGTTTTCAAACTAGAAGCAAAAAAGTTAGATCTGACCTCTAATGATGCAACTCCACTGAAGTCCAGGATGAAGACAGCTGAATTCCTCTGTTCAGCATTATAAAAAAAGACTGCCTCGATATCTGTTCCCCATCTAGTATTTGTATTTAGCTTGTGCTTATCATTTGTTTATTATAACAAAGTGGGGAACAAGTCTAACACTGAGTTACTGTTAATGATTGTTAACAAAATATTAATAAGGCCAAGCTGAGAAGATCACTCCATGGTTACCTTGACCGCATTATAGCTGTCACTTCAAAGCCAGATAGGTGTTAGGTCATACCTACCGCGTGTGGTTGGCAGCATGTCCGACAAACCCTGCCAGGCTGTTACCATCTCTGGGTTCTTCTCCAGGTCAGCAAAGTTCTTCCATACCCTTATAGCACCATCATCTTGAAGGAAGAACAGAAAGGAAAATATATTGCAATGTTAGCTTTGAGAGATATGTAGCAGCAGATTGAGAAGGAACAACTGAGTAGCTGTTATAAAGTTTAATACCATCACAGCTCATTGCCACCATTTATGCACTTTTGGACCAATATCACACTTTTCAAATAGGTAGAACGCCTCTCTAAGGAGTGATCAGTAGAAAACCTGTGTGCCTCCCAATATCTTCAAATTCAGTTTTGGAGAATTTGCTTCTAGATGAAGGGAACAGGTGTCAAGATTTCATTGACAGTCAAATCCATAAGGGTGGCCATGCTACCCAGGAGTAGCAAAATAACCAAGAGTCATATGGTATCTTTAAGACTAACAGATTTATTATAAAATGTGCTTTCAAGGACATGCAGCCCAGTTCCTCCGCTGCAAGGAGGGCATTCCTAGTTAAATACAGCAATACAACCATGTACTGATGCTTGCTAGTCTTGAGTAGCAAGAGAAGCATTGTGGAGGACTGCTGCTCCTTGGAGTCCAGTTCTCAGCAGAGCACTATGCTCATTTTGGATTACAGCATCAACTAAGCTTACACAACTCCAGAACCTCTGTTTTTGTTTAAAAGGTTTAATTGCAGTCATGGTGTTGGTGGTGATTCAGTCAGAGCAATGACAATGGGATTGAAAGCTTTTTCCACATTCCACTGTCTGAAAGAAAATCCCACCCAAACTGCCATTTGTCTCACTGGGAAAAGTTCAAAAGATGCAAGAAGTTGTTAATTTTTTAAAGCCACATTTTGAATCTAATCATGATGAAATGATGAGAACACATGACATAAATAATCAGCTGGTTATAATTTTAGTTCTTGGGAGTTCTGTTCCTTGAAGATGCTTGTTTGCCATATTCCAATGTTGCCTGACTAGCCTGTTTGCTGCAGCACTTCATTTCACCACCCACTCCCCTTGTGGGCTGCTACCTCTTGTCGTTCTTGTCAACTGGGAAACCTAAGTTTTTCTCCATCAGTGTTAAAGAATCAGTAATTTGGAGGTGAGACATCACAGCTGGATTTTCCTTATTAAGTCAAACATTTCAGCAATAAGAAAAGCTTAGTTTGGCAGGTTTAAAATGTATCTAGGGTATAAGAAAAAGCAGCTTTCAAAGAAAACAGTAGTTTATGCAACTAGTACAGTAAGTACACAGCTGCATATGTTTGATTGCTTTTTAGTTTATCTGTTTGGGACAAGAGAGGAAGATGGATGATGCCTAGTCTAAAAATAAGAAGATTAAGAGCATACATATCTTTCTCTGGTATTACATGTAAAGTTAAAATGGTAATACCACCAACATTCAAACACAGCTAATCAGAACAGACTCACTCATTTGGCTGTTTTCCTTATTTGCTGTAGGGAAAGCTTTTGTTCATTAATTATACCACAAGCTCAGACAGGACTAGAGTATACAGTGGTGCCTCGCATAGCGATCGCTCCGTTCAGCGATGAAATCGCTTTGCAACACACTTTTTGCGATTGCAAAAGCAATCGCTTTGCGATGTTCCCTATGGGGGAATTTCCCTTTGCGATGCTTGGTTCCCCGCTTCGGGAACCGAGCACCGCAAAGCGATGATTTTAAAACAGCTGATCGGCGGTTTCAAAATGGCCGCCGGGTAAACAAAATGGCTGTCCGCTGTGTTTAGGGACAGATTCCTCACTTAAGAGGCAGCAAAAATGGCCACGCTATGGAGGATCTTCGCTGAACGGTGAGTTTTAAGCCCATAGGAACGCATTAATCGTGTTTTAATGCATTTCTATGGGCTTTTTAATATCGCATAGCGACATTTTAGTTCTGCAGTGATTTTTGCGGAACAAATTAACGTCGCAATGCGAGGCACCACTGTACGTAAGTATTTACCAATATAAGGATTTTATGCCTTGGCTTTAAACTCAATACGTAAGTATTTACCAATGTAAGGATTTTATGCCTTGGCTTTAAACTCAGGCAGAAAAAAACCTAAGTGGTGTGGGGTAGAGTGAAGTGGTAGATTACCGTATGTGCCATCTGGAAAGACCAATTCACACAGGCCAGGGTGGAAGGTCAGTTTTACCCGAGTTTTCATTACCAATGTAAGGATTTTATGCCTTGGCTTTAAACTCAGGCAGAAAAAAACCTAAGTGGTGTGGGGTAGAGTGAAGTGGTAGATTACTATGCCATCTGGAAAGCCAGACCAATTCACACAGGCCAGGGTGGAAGGTCAGTTTTACCAGAGTTTTCATTGTACCAGATCATCTTTTTTTAAAAATATATCCCTTATTTTAGCATTAATGGTAAGAAGATTCCTGGTGCAGTGGTTAAACTGCAGCATTGCAGCCAAAACTCTGCTCATGACCTGGGTTCCATCCCTGGTAGCCAGATGGATGGAGGTTCACTCAGAGGTACACAGGGGACAATGTGTATCTTGCATAATTAAACTGTAAACCACCCAGAGAGTACTTTAAGGGTTGGTATATAAGCAGCACACTTTGCTTTTTTGCTTTGTTAGAGGTGGAAAAATCCAATCGAATTTGGTTTCTTTAAGCTGGGGAGTGTCAGATTTCAACAGTTGACACCAATTTCCCTGGAGGCTCACTCAGAGGTACACAGGGGACAATGTGTATCTTGCATAATTAAACTGTAAACCACCCAGAGAGTACTTTAAGGGTTGGTATATAAGCAGCACACTTTGCTTTTTTGCTTTGTTAGAGGTGGAAAAATCCAATCGAATTTGGTTTCTTTAAGCTGGGGAGTGTCAGATTTCAACAGTTGACACCAATTTCCCTCTAATACTTAACATAAAAAGTGGAAGAAGTCCATCTTTTATTTTACTCTTCTTGCCCTCCTTGATCCTTGTTTGGTGCTTTGGAGAGCAAGAAGCAGCTACATGCATTTTTGAAAACTCATTTTGCACTCCTCCTGTTTCCATTCTCCTTGTCATGTATTATCTTGTCTTGTTACCTCTCCTCTTTAGCTTTTTTGAGTCCCAGGAAATTAAAAAATAACAATTTACTGAGATAGATGGAGACCCTCTATTTGGGGTCTAATGTAGAACATAAGGGGACCACCACCTTGTGGCAAAGAAGACTGGCATCCATTTCCAAGCCATCCTTAATATCTATCATTTAAAAATCTTTCAACTTTACACAATAAAACTAATGAAGGCCAGCATGTTTGCATTCACTCATTTGATGTTCTGCATTCTGCACATGCACCAAGCCAAAAACACCAATGTTCAAGGAGCCTTACTGCTAAGAAAAATGTTCATGGCTGGTGCTTAACCATGCAAACCAATTAGGAGTTACTCTGAAATAAATCATACTAAGTTCTTAGTCTTAGATACAGGTGTGTTTATTAGTTTGAAATAAATCATACTAAGTTCTTAGTCTTAGATACAGGTGTGTTTATTAGTCCGATACATATACAGTTTGTCTTTTCTCCAGACAGTTTATTTATTTTTCTGTAAATTGATTTGTTTTTCAATAAAATATATACGTTTTGAGGCATTTTATATGGAAGGAAGGATGCTGTGATTAGAAGATACTTAAACCACACCATGCACCTGAGAATAAAGCTCACTGGATCCAGTGAGGTTTCCTTTGGAATAGGCATACACAGTAGTGCACTCTTAAGACTTTTTTTAGCCATAGATACTGAGTCTGTTACTTAAACTGATGTACGTATTAGCTTGCACAACAGCTCCTTCCAACCTTGTTAATTACTCATTATTAATGAAGACCGCAGTGTTATATCTGCTTACCTGGGAGTAAGCCCCACTGAACCCACTGGATCCAGTGAGGTTTCCTTTGGAACAGGCATACACAGTAGTAAGCCGCCCAGAGACCTTTGGGTAGGATACTGAGTCTGTTACTTAAACTGATGTACGTATTAGCTTGCAAACAGCTCCTTCCAACCTTGTTAATTACTCATTATTAATGAAGACCGCAGTGTTATATCTGCTTACCTGGGAGTAAGCCCCACTGAACTCAATCAAAATTACTTCTGAGCAGACAAATAAAACACTGTGGTCTAATTGACTTTAACTCCCACTTCATCCATAATGATGCAACTGAAAAACTGAGGGAAGTATTTCCACACTCCTCGTTTTAATCATGCAGATCTGAGTGCAACAGCCGCTAAAAGTATTCCTTCACATATCCTATTCTGAAACAGAATAAGGCAACATTTCTGGAGACAGGGGATAAAACTCTCTGAAATCCCACCTGTAGGCTTTGGGATAAAGCTCAAGATCAGGAAGAGTGATCACAAGAAGAGATTTGCTTCATGGAGAGATGGCAAAAGCTGTTACATAGAAAGGCACAGCAGATGATTGATGTATGTTTGAAAGGAGAAGAATCCATACATACAGTACTCTAATGCACCTCAGTTCTCCAACACAGGCTGCACCCAGAGCCTTGATCCAGGAATTCTGAGTCACCCGTCTCACTAATGCAAAAACTTCCTGCACTTACAAACAGGCCTAGGGCCAAAGCACATGGAACTTCCTCCCTTTCCTCTCTGTTAATCTGTGAGGCAAACTGCTTAGAAGAGAGAGGGGAGAAAATGTTCCTGCAACATTTGCTTTCTCACACGCTGCCACCTTCAATAGAAAGATACAGTGGAGTGGAAAGCTAATGGAGGTTGCAGCAGGGAGAGCTTTGTAGCCATCAACATTGCTTCTTAAGTCTTTCTCCAGCATATGGCAATGTAAATTAATCTAAATTTAAACTTAAATTGGAACCAGTTTAAGATCTAATTTATTTCTAGCAATTAATGCATAGATTAATTTCAAAGAAAATTTAAGGGGAGTCACCTTGCCATTATTTAAAAAGCCATTGGCTGACTCAGTGCATTTCTAATTGTTATGCTGATCTTTGGACACAACAATACAAGAGGTCTGTAGTGTTTTGCTCCTCAGCAAGGATATGCAAGGGTGATATTTGTTCTGTAATAGACATCACATACTAAAGCTATTTGTAGGCCTTGAAGTGAAACAGCCCTAAAAAGTGAAACACCCATGTTATGTAAGAGTTAAAAATACATAACAATAAGAATAAAATAATAAAGAATATATTATAATAAAGAATATGTTATGTAAGAATAAGAATGGTCTCTGAAGAAATTTATTTCAACTAGCTAACCTGATATGTAGTCCTAGAGCAGTGGTTCTTAACCCTGTATAACCCTGGTGTTTTTGGACTGCAATTCCCAGAAGCCTTCACCACTAGCTGTGCTGGCTGGGAGCTAAAGTTCAAGAAAACCTGGGCTACACAAGATTGGGAACCACTGTCCTAGAAGAATGTTCTGGAGGTGTGACAGCTAGAAAATGTATATAGATTTAACATAACTGTAAGTTCCTGCAGTCAGCATCAGAAGCAAGGGATGGGGTCCAGGACAATGATAAGATCTCATCCTTACTTCAACAATATTTTTCATATTGCGGAGAAAAATGAGGATGTCAGCAGAGGACAGTAAGATACAGTTGTGTTCAAAATTATTCAGCCCCCACTGAAATTGAATGTTTTGGCCATTTTGACATTGATTTTGATCATTCAGTCATCTTGCTTACATTTACATGTAGGTCAGAGAAATATAACCTTAAGTTTATAATGAAATAACCACAAATGTCTTTTCTGTGCTCACATCATTATTAGTTTTTATTCAACCCCCAAGTGACATTCAATCTTAGTACTTAGTACAACATCCTTTTACAGTTATAACAGCTTTTAAACGTGAAGCATAGCTTGACACAAGTGTCTTGCAGCGATCTACGGGTATCTTCGCCCATTCTTCATGGGCAAAAGCCTCCAGTTCAGTCAAATTCTTAGGCTTGCACACTGCAACTGCTTTCTTTAAGTCCCACCAGAGGTTCTCAATCGGATTTAAGTCTGGTGACTGCGATGGCCACCCCAAAATGTTCCAGCCTTTCCTCTGCAACCATGCTCTAGTGGACTGGGAGGTATGCTTGGGATCATTGTCCTGTTGAAAGGTCCAACGTCTCCCAAGCCTCAGGTGTGTGACGGACTGCATCACATTTTCATCCAATATCTCCTGGTACTGAAGAGAATTCATGGTACCTTGTACACGCTGAAGCTTCCCTGTACCTGCAGAAGCAAAACAGCCCCAAAGCATTATTGACCCTCCGCCATGCTTCACAGTAGGCAAGGTGTTCTTTTCGTCATATGCCTTGTTCTTCCTCCTCCAAACATAGCGTTGATCCATGGGCCCAAACAGTTCTAATTTTGTTTCATCAGTCCACAGAACACTATCCCACAACTTTTGTGGTTTGCCCACATGACTTTTGGCATACTGCAGTCGACTCTTCTTATTCTTGGGAGACAGCAAGGGGGTGCGCCTGGGGGTTCTGGCATGGAGACCTTCATTACGCAGTGTGTGCCTTATTGTCTGAGCTGAAACTTCTATACCCACATCTGACAAATCTTTTTTCAGTTTCTCAGCAGTCACACGGGGACTTTTCACCACTCTACGCTTCAGGTAGCGCACAGCAGTCGAAGTCAGCATCTTCTTTCTTCCACGACCAGGTAGCATTTCAACAGTGCCCTTTGCCTTGAATTTGCGAATGATGCTTCCTATGGTGTCTCTTGGTATGTTTAACTTCTTTGCAATCTTCTTATAGCCATTGCCCTTCCTGTGAATACAAATCACCTCTTCTCTTGTCTTCCTGGACCATTCTCTTGACTTCACCATGTTTGTAACCACACCAGTAAATGTCTAGAAGGAGCTGAGTATCACAGTCATTTTAAAGCTGCCTAATTGGTGCTTATTATGCTTGATTGGTGCTCAGTGACATCCACAGGTGTTTTCAATACCTGATCGAAAACACCTGAATGAACCTCTCTTCTTCAGAGTGGTAGTCTTTAAGGGGTTGAATAATTGTGGCAATGAAGAAACCACAAAAGAAACATTTACTACTGTATTACATAAACAATTGATGTTATTTTAGTTGCATTTGGTTCTTTAAAACGTCCTTGTAGGATTTCATTCTGAATACAATTCCAAATGTACACTATAGTCCCTAAACCCCTTTACAGCATTGGGGGTTGAATAATTTTGAACACAACTGTAAGTACAAGATGGTTCTTAAACACTTCATTGCGAAGATCCAGGGTGCTATAAAATGTAAAACTCTTATGGATACTCAAATGTCTCCTGGCACAGTACAGTGAAGACAGTGCAGGACAAAGAGCTTAAAACATTTTCACTTTTGGTTCGAAAAACTAAGTATAAGAATTCTCTGGTGATTCTCATTGAGAAGCACAAATGTGGACACATCTAACTGTGAATGAACTGACTAAGTCAGTTAACAGGACATAAAATGGAGTACACTTTAGTGAACTCTCACCCTTCTTTTTGTCTTTCATAAATGAAGCCATACCTACCTGTAGCTGTCAAGAGCAGAGAACAGTCTTGCCCATTCAGATATTCCATGGCAGTGATCCTGGTGTAGCGTGGGTTTCCATTATGAAAATAGTCCAGCTTTTCTCCTTTTTCCCAATCCCAGAAACTAAGAATACGAAGGGAAAAAAAAACAAAGACAAAAAGGTTAGGTAACTGAATGCATGTACAAAGCTGGATTTAAGTATTCTGGATGCTAAGAATTACTCTCTATTGACTATTTCAAATCAGGTATATTCACCCTCTACTTCCCTGAGTGTTTAACATTTCTTTATTAATATTTCTTCATTACACCCCCAGCTGCTTGCAGAAGGAGTAAGCTGAAATTCTGTTTTATAAGGTCTGTAATAAATATAGGCATAACAAGATGACTGTACTTATAAGGTTTTTCCTTAGCAGCAAGAAGATACCAGCTTAAATTCCCCTGTGCCACTTAAAATATTAGTGTCTTACCAGATGCTGTCTTTGTCAGCCACTGCTATGCATGGGGTGAATGGGTGAAACTTGACTACAGAGGGCATGCCAGGGTTCCTGTTCAGAAAGATTTGATCATCTAATCGTGAAATACCTAGAGCGTGTGAAAGGGGAACCACAAAGAATGTTGTTATCAACTTTTGATATAACAAGCAGATATTTGTTATTGATCTAAAAAGGTGGCTCTCAGACTATGATCTGGTGGGTTTCCTTGGAATAAAGTTGTGGAGAAATACCTAAGTTTTTTCCAAGCTATTTCAGTTTCTCCTCAATCCAATCAGAAAATGGATTCATCAGCGGCAAGAAACCATAGGGTGGACTTGATCTTTTTTAATGCATTCCTTAACAATTTCCTATGTCAAGACCACAGGAAAGGGCTGCCAAGTTGTCTTCATCACTTGATTCCCTCTCTTGACACTATACTGCATCCCTGAAGAATCTGAGATCTTATGAAGCTTTTCATGCAGCATGTTGCATGGCAATGATGAGAACTGATTAGTTAGCAGGCACGTTTAACCACCTACTACAGGGCAGTGTGAATGGGTAGGTGACAGAGGCAGGCATGTTTAAACAATCAAGAGTCTGTTTCAGTACAAAATACTGTGCAATTGTATTACCAGCCAAGGTTTCTACTTGAACAAAAGGCCAATTTTTTTTCAAATATTAATGGAATATGTATAAGCACTGTAAAGAAAATTCTTATAAAGTGTTCTTGTATATATACAGCAACTATGAGCTATGAACAAAATGGATAACTTTGAAGATACCCTGTCTCTTCTACAGGTAAGTATATAGAACATAAAGTTCTATATGGAACATCACTGGCCACCAAAACATTTAAAGCTTTTCGATAGCAGAGATCATGAGGAATCTTGGGTATAGAAGGTCTTAGGGCAACATGGGTGATTAAATGAAGGGGAAAAAATTCTTTTGCCATGACAAAGATCCTCCTTTAGTAATCTGAAACCATGTCAATCATGTGCACCATTCAAATAAAAAAAAGGAAAAAAGAGGCTCCCTCTTTGCTGACTCAAGTTTGGGTGATTTCAAAGGACTGAGCTCTATGTAACAGATACACCATCCCTCAGCAGATTAATATTTCACACTAATCTTTTCCTAGCTGATATCTCAAAATGGGACAGCGTCCAAATGTTGTCATTCCTAGTGAGAGCAATCTTGAGTCACACTAAAAATGACAGCTTAAGTGAGCAGTGGAAATTCAACCCTTCTTACTCACTGGCCAAGCAAACTGAAGAAGGGGAGTAAAGTTAATTCTACCTACAGCTATGCGAAATTAAGAGGTTGGTTCAACAGGAATTAAAATATGTGCTTTCAGTAAACAGTAAACCCCCTAGCACAACTGCTACCTTGTACATTCGTGAACAGATATAAAGAAGCAAGATGAGTTTTCAGTAGAGCAAGAAATATACATGCTGATGAATCAATCATTAATCCAATGTATAGCAAGGAAGGAGAAGTTATAGGTAAAACAGACCGCCCATATGAAACATTGCAGAAATATGGCAGGTTCTGAATAAGCAATCAGAATTAGTGGCTCTATAAAGCCAAAGGATAATTGAGTTCTTTAGGTGCCTTTAGATTTATCTAAAGGAGATACAGGACATTCTTGCAGAACACAGCCCAATTTGCAAAGGCTGACAACTCTAGCTGCTTCTGACATACATCAAATGCTAGACTCTGCCCTCTGGATAAGGTGGAAATGCTAGCATTTCACCTGCATCACTCCTTCTTGTAACCAAGCTGGAAAAATACAGGATCAAGAAGAAGGGTGAAAATTTCTTTCAGTGATTCATTTTCTATTAGATCTTTTGCTTCCTGAGACGTCGTTTCTCATCAGCATGGTTGTCCAAAAAGTGATCTACAAGTTAGGTTCAACGAGTTTTCAAGCTGAGGGTTGGCATGCATTTAAAAGTTTATTGTTGCCAAAAGATAAAAGGAAATGACTATTAAGTGTCTGCATCTTTCTAAACTTTTTAAAATTCCCACCAGCCAGACAAAGTGAGTAGAATTAAAGACGTTAAAGAGGCTAACCTTGTTGTCCTTTATCAGCTATGATTGCCTCTGCTGGGCAGTGTGCAGCTTCTAGAAAGGAACAGGTCTCAGTGCTAGATCTATTATACTGTGACTTCCTGGGAAACTACAGTCCAGCTGGAAATACATGAATGGGCCATGGTAGAAGGGCACTATAATGAAGGAATACTAAAACATCTTATGCAAATCCCGAAACACTGTGTTAGAAACCACAAAATAAGTTGATGTTACAAGCAGAAAAGAGGTCAGGAGTGGTCACATAGATAGCTCATGAACAATGTTCTTGTTCAGTGTCATGAAGAAGAATGCAAAGAACCATTCTCCATGTCAGGAGTTGAAGCAGGCAAGTGAGAAGATGTGAGCACCTTTTTGGATGATTTTCTGTGCTTGCTTTCGGACTCGGGCGTTGCGCAGAAATCGCCATTCCCTCTCTTTCCGGACCTGGCTCTCCAAATCATGTTCTTCTGGAATCTACCAGCAAATTAAATATATATTTAATTTAGCAACAAGGAGCAGTCGAGAGCTTTATGTTCTGGTATGCTTTGTAACTTTTTAGATGAGCATCATCACCTGACTGGTTACAGGGCTGCCAACTAATCAAGGCCTACTTTGGTGTTCTGTGCTGTCAAGGCAGAACTGAGGTATAGTCATCCTGACAGGGTTTTCAAGGTAAATGAGTGATTTTAGTAGTTCCACTCAACTGAGTCATTTTCCATGGCTAAGTGGAGATTCAAACCCTGTTCTTTAGAGTCCGAGTTCAGCACTCTGTGCACTACATTACACTGGGGATCCACCAGAAAATTAAATATGGCTTCTTTTAGCTAAGAAAAAGACATATTAAAAGGATTATATATACTTCTTAAACAGGTGACATTTTAATGAAACTTAATGGAGACCACATTTTCCTACACAAACATCATGGGAGAGTGACAGATTAATTGGAAAGTAATCTGGAACACACTGTTGAAATGCATACTATTTTCAAATATGATAGTACTAAATTCTTATTGGGAACAATGGTACAGAAATGCCCATTCTAAAATTATGATCAGTAATTGATACCAATTAATGGACCGATACGGACCAATATTTTCCAAGCTACTCTTTCCCCATACAAGGCACCTTTTATCTTGCCTCATTCAGGCTGCAAGCACTAATAGGAGGAAAATGAGTGTCCTGTCATCTTAAAGAGCAACATAATTTTATGAAGCTTATATAAATGTCCTGTCATAGCAGATATATTTGAATCCAGCAACTCCTGTTATGTATCTTCAAATGCATGCCAAGTACTGAACCATTTAAACACCCATCTCCAAGGCTTTCTACTGTTTAAATGCAAGGAGTGTGAATTTTTGCATAATTTGCTCCTAATAAATGGCCTCATAAAGCATATGGCAGGGAAATGTAAATACAGATGGTATAATTCCTGACTGGACATAATGTGTGGAAGTCTTGTGTCTCCTTCTACACAGCTGTCATAGGTTTTCAGGGCAAAATTTCACCACTTTCTTCAAAATCACCATGGCCAGACAAATGAAACAATGTTTTGCACAAATACAGTACCAGTAGTTTTGCAAAACCTTTTTGGATTTTGCTTGCATTTCTTGTAGTGTTCAGTGAGGTGTTATAACTTATCGACAATATTTATGGTTTATAAGCATAAGATCTCAGGTTAAACCTCCAGCATCTCCTATTAAAGAATTTCAAGTACTGAGGAGGACAAGCCTTAGACAGAGTGAGGAAAGTGTGGTGCTGGGCCATATATGGCCCTCCAAGTCATTTCTCCACTGGGGGGAAAACTTTTTCTAAACTGTGTCTCCCAGAGTGTGATGGTCATGCAATGAAACAGGTTGCAGCTCAACCCCCCAAATCCCCATGACAGTGCAAGTAAACTTTCAAGGACATCCACATTTGGTTTTTCATGGGTTTTATGCATTATCTGGGTTGGGGGTAGAAAATTGGTCCCCAGATCTACCAAAGCTGCCCACTCATGCCTTAACAAATCAATCCAGACAGAGACCAATGAGCTAGATGACATTTGCATATCAAAAATAAAAGCTTGTTTTATTACGTCTCATATAATCAGTGACTGAGTAGGAAGAACCCACTTTTAGAAATTTACTGACACCTACGTATACAGATTCAAAAAAACCCACAAGGAGAGAAAGGAATGCCACCACTGTGCACTGCAATGTCACAACTGTCATGACTCAATCATGTCTATCAAGAGCACCACAGATAGGATTGCTACAACTGCTTCAAGATGCATGCCCATGAGACAACAGACTACTCACACAATCCCTATTATTCAACATAGCACCATGTCTACAATTTATTCCAGGAAAATTTTAAAAAATTCTCTTTCTATTTCCATTCCTTTTCAAATAAATTTCTAAGTAGGAGAAATTTCAGAGAAATCCTCATGGACATGTTCAGGATTCTTGTATTTACGTTCCTTAGGGAGTGCAATCACCTTTGTGGTAGCTGGCAGCCTTCCATACTTCAATTAAAGGCATGAGAAAACCATCATAACACAACTCTTCCTATAAAAGTTTTCAGATCATTAAGAGTGGGCTCTCAGGGAAGCCGATGAAGAGATATGTAATAGAAAGAAATGCAAAAGGAAATGCAGCCACCTTGCAATGTTTACTAAACTCAAAAATGGCACACACACAAAATTGTAAAGGGCTCTGAGAGCCCAGCTAAAAAACAAAAGCCATTTTCATGCGGAAATAAAATTCTTGGGCATTCTCAAGATAAATTATGACAGAGCACTCATTTCACCTTTTTCCAGGAACTGGACACAACACCGCCTTTGCTCATACCTGCCACAGAGCTTACCAGGAAAGAGTAGTATTGTGAGGCCGTTCTGCAGTGGAGGCAAAAAGTATGACATTTGGGAGGTTCTAGAAAGGTGCTGAGATTTCAAGAATGAAAAACAGTGCTGAGCACCCCCTCTCATGTTTTAGTTTATATTTCTCTTATTTCCCTAGCAAGCCGCTCTACAGAATAACTTCCAAATTTTCACCATCTTTGTACGCGCGCGCATATGTGCATGTGCTCACTCATGACTCCTTGTTATCACCACCATAATGATCTACATCAATGGCTCCCAACCTTGTTCTTGGAATGCAACTCCCAGAAACCTCAGCAAGCACAGATGGTGGTGAAGGCTTCTGGGAATTGCAGTACAAGCATCCCTCGGTCACCCAAGGTTGGGAACCACTGCTCTACTCTAACACAAGACAGAAGGCATTGTGGGGGCAGTCGAATACTGCCCAGGCTGCTAGCACAGTTGCTGCTGCTCTCACTTGTACTGGCAGTGCAAAAACAAAACAAAAAAACCAGGAAAGAAAAAAGATAAAATCATGCTACAATGATCGCTAATGGCAAACTCCTCCTTTTAAAGGAACAGTAGGAGAATTTATCCTTCACTTGGGAGAAATTGGGTGAAATTATCCCGTTTTCCTGTCCATTAATAGTGTGGAGAATTTCAAGTGGCCATTTGTATACAACTAAAATAAAAACTGCATATTTACTCTTATTTTTAATTGTTTTGCACATAAGAAACAACAGCCCGAAACAATGAGGTGGTGCAGCAGAACAGATTTGTGTAATTAAATGTCAACACAAACTATTCAAATCTCATATTAGGACTACAGAAAGGTGAAAACTATGGATCATAGAACCACAGAGCTGTAGTGCTGGAAAAGACCTCAAGGGTAATCTATTCGAAACCCTGTCAATACAGGAACCCACAGTTAAAGCATCACTAACAGATGGCAATTCAATCTCCATTTAAAAACCTCCAATGAAGGAACGCCCACTTTCTAAAATAGTCTATTTCAGTGCTGATCTAGTTTTAGCATCAGGAATTTATTTTTACTGTTTATTTGGAATTTCTTTTCTTATAACTTGCATTCATAGTTTGTGGTCCTACCCTCTTGAGCAACAGAAAATAAACTTGTTTCATTTTCTAAAGAAGGTTTTCACTTCTCAGCCTTCTCTTTTGCAGGGTAAAAATATCCTATTCCCTCAACCATTCCTTGTATGGCTTGGTTTACAGACCTTTTACCACTTTAGTCACCCGCTTCCAATACATTCCAGCTTGCAAATATCCTGGACAGGTATTATGAATGCATAGGGTGGTTAAAAATAAATTTAAAATTAAAATAAAACCCAACAGAAGTCAGAGAATTAACTTAGAACTGTTTGCTATTTCAGTTGAGCCAAGTAATGAATTAATTATGTTTTCTTTGTCCACAATGATCACAGATTAGCCCTCATGTAGCATTTTAGAAGTGCAGCTGCAATCAATTACGCAATGGTGTAAATGTCTGCATGAAATATGTCTGACATGTAAAACAGAAATTGCTTTCTTCTGCAGAGGAAATCCTGGAAAGTGTGATTTTGATTTTTTTTAAATTAGGCCTGCAGTTTTCAAATACTGTACAATCATACATTCAGCTAAAAGGTTTTGCTTTCACAACTGCTTCCTTTGAAATCATTATACGTTCTGTACCTGTAGCAGGTGCTACTCTGTCCAGAGACGCAAGCTGTTCATTATCGCTAAGACAGCAGAAGTGGTAGCTCAATTGTTGAAGAAATATGGCATTTACAGAAGGGAAATGATTTAGATTGGTTAGTAATAGCTTCCCTGTTTAAGATAGATAGAAAGCGGATCATTATGAAAACTGGAAGGAAGAAGATTCAGATGTGTGTGGGAATGTGATCGCTATTTTCAAATGTCTGAAAAACTGTCAGACAGTAGCACAGTTGTTTTTCCTTACTCTAAAACAAATGGCTTACACAATGCAGAGAAACAGGTTTCAACACATCCGGAGAATGTGTTCAGAGTATGCACCCGCATTCTAACTGATTGACAATATGACCAACTGCTGCTGGAGGTCATGGTCTCTTCTTTCCTAGAGGCAATATGGACATCTGGCAGAGATGTTTCATCCTCCCAGCTCTATGGTTCTGTGTACTTAAGAGATGATGGTGATAATCACAGCAGAAATCCCCAAATGCCAAATAACAAAACCAGTCAGACCAGACATATTGCTATGCAAATTGTTTTCATGGCAGCCCATCCTCTGGAAACAAATCACAACAGGGATTACTGAACTAGATTGCTTACTTTTTAAATTCTACCCTCAGCAGTTTCTGTTTGTATCAACCCAAGCCTTATTACATGGAGAAAGACAAATGGCTAGCAACATAACAGCAATATTCCAATTCCAAGATAAAATGCATCTTACTATAGTCAAGTGGAAACATATTATAGTTTAATGAAAATTGCATTTTAGAGGAACACATTAGAATAAGATTGAAGAAATGCTATATTAAAAAAAAGGGTAATGACTTATAGGAAAATTCAAGCTTAAACTGAAGAAAGTAGGAAAAACCACTGGGCTAGCCAGGTATAATCTAAACCAAATCCCTTAATGAATACACGGTGGAAGTGAAGA